CATATTGGGCAATCAGGGCACAAGGCCAGAATGTGTGGAGTATTCAAGTTTGAGGGCTGGAAAGGGATGCACAAATGGAACAAGGCCAGAGTGGATGACCTAGTTCCTCAGAAGATTGTATGGCATCGGCGGCCTCATGACCCACCGGTCCTTGTGGACGGCGGGAGGGATTATTATGGCCATGCGCCTGCTGTCATTGAGCTCTGCATGCAAGTGGGTGCAATAGTACCCCCGAAATACCATTGCATGATGAAGACGCACGGCTTAGCACCACCTGTTCGATGAGACCATATGTCATAATTCATAAAGTTGACTGTCTGGTTAGATACAGGAACTGTATAGATCAGACACCAAAATAATTTTGCTTGCGACTGAAATTTCTACTGTGCAAAAGACTGTTCTGGAAGAAGCCATCAATTAACCTTAATGGCTAGCTGAGGAGATACACAATTTTGAAGATTATTAATGTTATCAGAATCCAGAAGGTGAGACTGAAAAGAAAAGATTTTAAGAAGGTCAGTAGCAGACACATCTATTATTTTGAAGGCCCTCATACTGTAGGAAAAATTTTGCATTGTAAAATATTCGAACAGCTTACTTCATTGCTCTTCATTTGTTCAGACCCATTTCTCTAGAATGGAGGTAGAGCTTTAGGAGTAGCCTACTATCTGCTCTTCAGTGACTCAGCTGAGCTACAGTAATAGCAATGTTGCCATTGTTTTACGTGACTTCATTTTGTCAAGTCCTTTGATAGTAGTGCACCTCAATGTCGTACCCAAGTTTTTCCCCACGCTTGGATTTACGGGCAATTTTGTTATGTGCAAACCATGTAAACATATAAGAGAGACTGACAATATTCTGTATTGTATGTATACCCTGCTATCAAAGGGCTCAAGCATTCTTTCTTAAAGCAGTAACTTTGTACACAGACTTTTACTTGTGTTCTTTTTTGCTGTGCTGGATTCTGATGGTTGACTCACATTGGTTGACATCTGTTGTCCAAAGTTGAATGGTTCTAATCTATTTTCAAAATGTGTTTGTGCTCTGGACCAATCCTGGTCGAGCCCAGCATCAACAACTGCAGAGTAAAGGGAGCTCCCGAAGTGAAGCTTTTTTGTAATTTGAATCGTGTCACCGGATTAAACCACTCTAAATTGGTGCTAAGATTGAACGTAAACGATTTTATAGCTGAGAGCTGAAAAGTTAAAGGTTTCGTAGTTGAGGACTGTAAAATGAACTTTCTCTCTCATTTTTCCTATGACAATTACTTGTCTGCAACATTATATTGCAATCGCATATTGTTATATTACTTTGTTTGATCTTCTGATAGTGAGATGTGCAGAAGTATTTCCTTGTTTGTACTTGAATGGATGAGAGAAAAAAACAATAAACAACCTTACTGAGCGAGGTTGCTTTTATTAGAACTATTTTGATTATTAGTTATTTAAAATTATCCTAGAAATGAAAGTGTACTATATAATTTGGCCACTACTGCAACCATGGGCACCTTTACAATCTATAGCTTAAGTTGGCAAATTTGCAGCACCCCATATGGATGATTGCTAAAAGTATTTATGCAAATGCTTAACCAGACGTGGCTTGCAGCAGCTGGCCGGCAGCGTCTTGGAACATCCATGTGGGCCGCGGCCCAAGACCGAATGCTAAGCTTAATTAGCTCTGTGCCTCTGTTGCTGATTAGCTGAACCCAGACAAAACGCTTTAACGAACATAATACCACCTCGGAATCACAGACAACTATCAGCCAGCTTATAATGCTAATCCAGGGCTCTCACAGTAATAGCAATGTTGACTGATAAGGAGGCAAGCACTTCAGCTTGGTTGATGAGCAAATGATCTGTGGGCCAGAGCGTTATTAACGGCTGGGATTTACACTGTGATTGTATGATCTAAGGCCGTAGAGGATCGTTCCTGGCTAACATAAGAAACAGTTCTCCATTTAACAAATCGCTTTTTTTCTATCTTGGCCCATAGGTTGTCTGAGCCTTTTTTTTTTCTTTTGCCGTGCAGCTTCTGAATCAAAATATTCCTACTCTTATCTTACCTTACAAACAGTTCTCCATTTAACAAATCGTTTTTTTCTTTCTTTTTGCCGTGCAGCTTCTGACTCAAAATCTGTGCAAAATATTCCTACCCTCATCTTACCTTACAAACAGTTCTCCATTTAACAAATCGTGACTCTACAAAATGGGCAGACAGCCAACTACGAAATTCAGTAAATTGTGCTGTCTGTCACAAAAGAAAATGGGCAGACAGCCAGCTACAAAAACAAGTAAATTGTGCTGTCTGTCACAAAAGAAAATGGAGAAGTTGACAGGATTCTACAGTGATTCTGACTTGTAACGTAAGATTATTACCATCCTCAACTTTTGCTTTCCTACACAACTGTTGCTTCCTCGAGATCTTTCAATACACAAAACTAGAATTCCAAAGAGTGGTGACAGAATTGTTGTTTACCCCCAAATCTTTCACATCGCAGTGCAATACGGCAGTTAATTTGTACTTTTGTAGGGAGATATACAAAATAAAAGAATAAAAATTAAAGTACGACAGCTCAATATTACAATGCATGACTAGAAAACAGTAAAATAAAACACTAATTAGAAAATAAAAATTAGTGCACAACTTAGAAAAACAAAAATCAAAGAGCACGAACCAACAACCTCCTAGTTAAGTTAAGAGCCAATGGACAAACCACTAGGTTATCAGCTTCAAATTATTCAAAGTATCAAATATTTATTATGGAACACATGCTATTTCAGTGCCAAGTGAGCTCCATGACCCACCTAGCATATCCCGTAGGTTTGCCCACTGCGAACTGAGCTCCTGCCTCCCAGTCTCTTGTGCTACAAAGATAGCTTGTTTTAGAGGGTGTTCGGATCCGGTGATTAAAATTTAAGAGGTGTGATATGAGGATGTCGCATAGGGTTGTTTGATACTAATAAAAAAACAAATTACAAAATCCGTCGGCACTTCACGAGATGAATTTATTAAGCCTAATTAATCTATCATTAGCACATATTTACTATAGCACCATATTGTCAAATCATGAACTAATTATGTTTAAAAGATTCGTCTCGTAAATTAGTCGTAAACTTGTGCAATTAGTTTTATAATTAATCTATATTTAATATTCCATATATGTGTCCAAATATCTAATGGGACAACGACTAAAATTTAGAAGGAGGAACAAACACAGTTTAGGAGGAGAAAACAAACACTCCGTTAGCCGTCGTCTCAGCTTTGCTTCAAGCCGTCAACTGTATGTGTATGCCTGTACGGTTCATGTTTGCGTGGTACTCCACCCTGCTGCCGGAAATCTCTCAGTGCGTGTAAGTGCGTTCAACTCTAACCTAAAAAAAAAACAGAACAACTCACAATTTAAAATAAAGAGGTAGTTTGCAAGATCCTATTAACTTATTTTCACACATTCTTGTGTATTAATATTTTTTCCTAATAATTCAAGTCTAACCAAAGATAAATTATTTGCATGCTTGTAAACAAGAAATGGACGCTTCTTTTCGACGTGATGATATTCAGGTGGTAGGACCTATAGCCATATCCATCTTCTGGTTTAGAGTTGTCACATGTATTCATACTAAATATGATCGTTATATGACACTCGTATTGTTACTGAAATTATTTTACCTCATATATAGTCTAGGTTATCAATATAGTATCTACTACTCCCTTTATTCTAAATTATAATATGTTTTGGTTTTTTAATACATAATTTCTGCTATGTACTTAGATATATATTATGTCTAGTGTAAAGAAGCCAAAACTCAAACTAGTTTCATATTTTTCTGAACTAAGATATTTTTTCAAATAAATCAGATTTCTGGATTTTTGTGTCCATAAAACTTTAAGAAACTATTTGAATAACTTTTTGAAATTTGTTTTATAACTATTTTGACAAACTATTCTTATCTCCTGACTAAACTATCGATGTAGTCCAATTTATCTTCTTGTGGCTGACAAGGTACCACGTCAAACTAAATCACTTCACAAACCATCCAAGAAGCAAACAAACAACTGGTTTCAGTAATTGCAGGAACCAAAACATCCGGTTTTGAGTTTTCTAGTTCGAAGAGGTAAATCAAATTAAGCAATAGTTACATAGGCTCCATAAGACTTCTCCATGCACTGCATAGCCCAATCGGGAAATTTTCCTATTTTTGTGTTTTGTGTAAATGGATGAACTAAAACAATCGGGAAAATTTCCTATTTCCTGTAAAAAATAATTGATTCTTCTGACATTCCTGTACAATTCCTGCATTCCAAGGGCTGCTAATGTGCGGGCCTGTTTACTCACGGATTAATCTGTAGCACACTGAGCCTACGTACAGAACGCTTCATATTACACAGGCGACGGGTTGATATTCAGCCTGTTCGGCGGGCTGGGCTTGCTCGTATACAATCGTAAATTTTCAACCAGAATAGTATTTTTCTCTCACACCAAATCAGCCAAACCAGCCATCAATAAATAATCCACGATCGTTTACGGCCTGCCGAACAGGCTGATTCAGTGCAACCTCAGTGCAGTCAGCAATCAGGGGAAGACCCAAACTTCTGATTGCTAAAAAAAGTTACAAAGGAATGCTATTGTCATCGATCATATATTGTATATATCCAGTGTCTTGTTCACAAAGGACCAAGTGGAGGGATGGGGTAACAACATCGAAAACAATCAACCAGAATCATCACTCCAATTTCGCTAATACAAATAATTTACGCCTGCAATGAATCAATGACATTCCTCCGGTCCACTACTCCACACTAAAAGATGCTTCCATAATCCTTTCTTGGAAGAGATGAAGGTAGCCCACTTGTCGTAAATGAGTGCCCTCCTGTTCCTCCTGCAGATTTGGGTGTTACGGTTAATATCCTTGAAGGAAAAGATTCTTTACACCTTTGTTCAGTTGTGCAGGGATTGGGAGGGGTTCGCATGGAACATGAGTTCAGTTTTCTGCCAATTCCCCTCATTCCCTCTCAAACCGAACATTTCTTAAAGGAGTGGATAGATTACCCCAGGGCACTCCGTTGCCGATGCCAAAACTACTAGGCCATGCAGGCTGCCCACTGTGATGGCTTCCCATTGGCCGCATTGGACTGGAAGTTGCCTGGTTATATCGCTGATGAAGAATAGGCTGTCCATGACGGGGACGGAGATTTTGCTGAGGATAGTTTGGAGGGTTGTAACCACCGTAGTTGATGGGAACACTAGAATGGGCACTCACTCCTTGAGAGGACACATGAAATAATTGATCTGCTCTGTAACCAAAAATAGTTGAACAAATCAGCAGTCTTACAAAGAAAGGCAAATAACCAGGGAAGTTCAAAATATTCTGACTGGTTAAGGAAAATGAGTATAAATTAGTTAGGTGGCAATACCTTTGGTTTGTTGGTACAGGGTTAGATGTAGCAAAGACATGGCCTTGGAAATTTGCTGATCTGATAGATCCGCTCCTTGGCCACCTGCATCTCTAAAGTGGAGATTGCTACTTAGATCAGCTGACAGTGAGTTGTCTTCTTGCAATAGTGACTCATCACTACAAAATGGAACATGGTATAGATTAGATTAATATTACCTTTTATACAAGTTTACAAGAATCAATTTGAGTATTCCATACCTATAATTAGGGTCCCAATTAGCAGGATCAAGTTCTGATGAAGCTGAAAAGTCAAATGATTGTGATGGAGCCTGTGAAGGCACATGACTAGACGAGGCCTCCAAGGAAATACCACTCCTTGAACCTATTTGTGGTCTCCAACCAGAATGACAAGAACTAGGTCCTGCTGCATTATGAGAGTGGCCTGTATGTCCTCGAGCATAGGCATCAGAATGACTGAAACTGACACCATCTCCAAAACGCCCTTGTCCATGCTGAGATACATAATCATGTGGCGGCATTGGCAAATTCCTCCTCATGTTGTATGGGCCCACTGCTGCAGCTTTTCCTAATGGAGAACCATGAATGCCTCCACTCGCAGGAGAACTGGAACCATGCTTCCCAGTAGAATTAGCTGGGATTTGCATCTGGTAGTTTGGTGGCGTAAACTGCGATGGACTGGCTCCAAGAGACATAGGCCCAAGACTACCAGGACTCAATCGAATTCCTCTATCATGCGGGAAACGCATCCTTAATCTAACATCTGGACTAGAGCCAATTTGTGCTAATCCAGAAGAACCTAAGGGTGAGTAATACATATTGATAGCATTAACGTCACCAGTGCTTCCGTAGCTGTTACCAAAACCAGGATTACCGGTATAGCTACCATGGCTACCATAGCTTCCATAACTACTCCCATAAGAAAAAGGAACCTTTGGAGGGTAGGCATTATTCACAGGTAGGTATCTGTTCACACTTCCAACCTACAAGTTTCAAGTATAGGGCATGATGGTTTAAGAAAGATTCCATATTGTTATTATTTCTAATAAAACTCAACTCAGAAACAGGAAATGAGAGGACGTCTATCACCTGCGGGGAAAGACCTGAATGTAGCCAGTGGCCCCCACCAGGATTGTGATCAATTGCTGCAGCACGAGCAACAGGCTAAAATACAAATGAAAGATGGGACAAGTTAGGGAGAGAAGAATGGGATCAATGTCTGAATGAACATGAGCAAAAAAAGATATTTTTAAAGGTACATCAGAGAGTGTATAGATGTGCCCATCATGCAGGCAAATATTCATGTGCACAAATTATATAGACAAAATACGACATATTCAATATATTCTTGAATAGTGACATAGTGTAGGAACATGATTAATAGGAAACATCAAATCATGTGGGAATACACCGCAATTCATCATCACAAAATAGTTTCAAGAAGCAACATCTGTAATTCCTACTATTATCAAGTTAGATATATACATTAACCCCCAAAGAGAAGTGTATTTCATTTCGTATACAAAATAAAATATGAAAATAAGACCATACTCACAATTCTTGCAGTCTCAGGTACAGGCTCATATGGACCGGTGAACGATTCGCCTGTTATGAATGGATGATATAGAGCCTGAAATAGGTTTCAGAAAACAATCAATTTAATTCTAGATGACATAAAAAAGTTATTCTGAATATCAACTTCTTGTGAATGTGTAGTGCATGCAAAATCGATAAAAAAATTATAACGCCAATAGGTCAATTGGAGAAAACATCTAGATATGCCCTAAGCCCCTAACGTGAGAATGTAGATAACAGTTATGAAATGAAATTGTGCCAATCGCAGCAGCCATACCTGCAATGGTGACCATCGCTTATTTGGATCAAATTCAAGGAGTCCCTTCAAGAAATCAACTAATCCCAAACGATCTGTTTTTTCTGTCTCTGAATCAAAATGCAAGACCTGAGAACATAATATCAAACTTGCCAAGCTTTATTGTAAGAACTCTCACTCGCCTATTCAGGAAACCAGCTAAAAAATGTCAAATTTACAAGTAATAAATTCAATAATGTAGTTCTAAGTTCCAACGGTAGTCTATACTGTACAAATTAACATGATGTGAACACAAAAGATGATGCTTTTAACACGAGGAACTACACAACTTAAGAAAATACCAACATCATGTTTAATAAATAACAAAACAAACATGAAAATGGCAAAGCAATAAAAATAGATTCACCTGACTAACAAAGAATAAGCATACTATACATATGAGTTTAGAAACTGAAAAGAGACATTAAACAAACCTGTCAGTTCGGAATTGTTCCAAGGATAGGTACATATGAGTTTGTCAAGCTTCAGGTGTGGGAAGTACCACTTTCCCATCTTTGGCCTCTTGGAATCTCTCTGTTATAGTGTTATTAGCACAAATAGTAAGGCAGTGCACAGTGACAGAGTATAAACCAAAGGATCCAGAGTCATTTTGGGTGAAATCACAAGAAACTTACCACTTCAACCTCTTCTTCACTTAAAATTCTGTATGCACTAGAAAGACCAGTAGGTGCCTCATTGCCAGGATATATACTTCCAGCATGTTTAAAAAACCTTATAGTGTTTTTAGCTTCCCTTAGCAGTTCATCTGGTGGTTGGCCCCTGCAAACATATGCCCAGGTGTGTTAAATTCTTAGCTGAGTAAAGGAGATAATAAAAATATAAGATTGACTACATGAGACTCAATAAAGCATTAGCATGCAGCCATTAACATGAGCATGATTGCATGCAAAATGAATAGTTTAGAGGTAAAAAAAACTTGCCCGAGAATTTTCATCATCCGCTGCATGTAAAATGAATAGTTTAGAGGTAAAAAAAACTTGCCCGAGAATTTTCATCATCCGCTGAAGCACATCATATTCTGATGCTCCAGGAAACAATGGCAAGCCTAGAAACAGTTCAGCAACTATGCAGCCGAACGACCACATGTCGATCGCAGTAGTATATCTGTTAAATGTTAAGGTTCAAGAAAGCCACTTGAACTTCACCTAAGAAAATGCCAGAACAGCAGAATGGCAGCACTTTATTGAAAAATATACATTAGTAAGTAAACAGTGTTCCATAAAAAAATGCCAACAGCTTTTACTACCTCCAATCACAAATAATTGGCAAAATGACTTTGTATACATCTTCTATTCATATTCTTCATCGCTAGTATCTTCTAGAATGTGTTCTTAAAATCCTCCAAAACTATGAGATCTTGTAATCCTTTTCCAATACAAATCTACACATATGACATGTCTCCAAACTAAAAGATTTAGATGTTGCCGTTGATGCTTGTAACTCTTAAGGTTTCACCAAACCTTGTGCTAAATGACATGTTTTTGTGACCGGAGTAGTGAGTGAAATGAAAAACACTTCCAATAGCTATACAGGATACGGATAGCCAAGGAGAACCTCTGGAGACCTGTAATAGCGGCTCTAGCAAAATATAAGGGAAGAATCAATACCTTATTTCAGTTAACCAACATTACTTAGATAAGAAATAAAAAAAATTGATCTACATAGTTCAAAAAAAAAAAAACCTGGATGTATGAGTAAACCGTTTTACCCTCCAGGCATGCTGATCCAAAATCAATAACTTTCACTGCTGCAGCTGTTGCGACACTGTAAATTCATCTTACGCCGTCAAGCTACAATGTTCTTTAAAGTAGTATCCCAAAACTATAATGGAAAATTCCAACGATCAAAAGGGTAACTCACCTGGGAGCTAACAGGATATTTTCTGGCTTCAGATCACAATGAATTATTCCAGCTTCTCTCATCACAACCATGGCATCCAATATCTAAAAACATAAACAAACACAATTTGGTAACATAGCAGTAGATAATTGGCATTCATATGATACACTAACAGATATGTCACCTGTTTTGAGAAGGCTTGAACATATTTCAGTTTAAGACCTCTTAAGTGGTTCCTTTTGAGCAGTTCGTACCTGAAATGGGAGCTTGCAGTGTGAAAAAAAAAACACGGGATGAAGCTGCTAGGCAAAAAGATTTTAAGAAATCAGCTTACAGGTTTTGACCCAGCATCTCAAAAGCTATACACAAATGATTCTGAAATGACAGATAATCAAGCATTCGGACAATATTATGCTGATCATCAGGATCAAAATTTTGATTTAACTGCAAGTACATCCAGAATGGTTAGTCGCACCTATTGAGCAAAATGAAGTTAAGTTTCTAATGAACTATCATACCGTTCTTAATAGTGAAACCTCCATGATAGCTTGATGGTAAAATGCAGGCTGGTTTTTTATCACCTTCACAGCAACATAGTCGTTAGTTTCTGTGTCCCAGCACTTAACTACTTGACCAAAAGTTCCCTGCCCAAGCATTTCCTTGACAATAAACCTAAGTACAATAATAACAAGGTACAGTTCAATATCATGAAACAAGCAAATATGGCACAGCGAACACCAAGTGAAAGAAGAATAACCTCCTGTTTGACATCTTATTAACCAACTCCAAGTTGACGTACAATATGAGGTCCCAATTTGCATTGTCAAGTCCATCATTGTGGGCTGGGGTAGAGGGACTCGTGAGGAAGCGTTTTGGATTTAGAACCTCTGAGTACTTAAACTCAGGATCACATTGTAGATATGTCTGAATGATGCCTGCTGTTAATCGTGCAACAAACTGCATTGTAAAAAGAGTCAGCGAACACCAGAGCATCAAAAGTAACAAAAGATAACATCACATGAAAGAAGCGTTTCTACATGAGAACAGAACATTGCACATACACACAAGGAAGAAACCCATAACAATATGTCACAAGCAAGTGCTGTATGATAGGCTTTTAGATAATATCACATGAAAGAAGGGTTTATACAAGAGAACAGAACATCAATATACACATACACACAAGGAAGAAACACATAACAATATATCACACGCAAGTGCTGAATGATACTGGTTCGGTCTTGCTCAGATGCTCATCAAGTCTGAAAAGAGCTAGCCAAAACACTCATTAACAACACATTAGCAAGGGAATATGCTAAAACAACTAGAGGTGAGTACTACATCCTAGAACATTCTTACCAGATACACTAGTCAATGTTAAAGCGTTAAAATTCTTTCATTCTCAATTTGAAACCTCCCTGCAATTGTACGCAGTGCAACAATTTTACTTGAAACCACAATAACACGCGAGTCCATCAACGAACCAGAAATCGTTCCACTCTTATAAACCAGTTAGACCAGAAAAAGGTTGAATAGAACCTATGAACAAGCAACCAATCAAGCAACAACTTGATGCGACAGTCAAATTATCAGTCTACGGGTTTCAGTTGATCACCAGTATACAAAAAAAAGGGAATTTAGCTACACTAACATGCTACTTCCTCATAATTCCAACGAATTTGATGATGTGGAAGCAACAGAGCTACTTCCTCATACTTCCGATGAATTTGATGGTGCGGAAGCAACACAGCAAGGGGTTGAGAGCAAGCCATACCGGTTTCCGCTTGACCCCATGAAGGCTGCTGACGCGGGCAGCAGCCCCATTGGCGGAGGCCGACGGGGACGCCTCCGGCGAAGCAGCGGCCGCCGCAAAACGGCTGAACGCCGAGGCCTCGCTCGGCCTCCACGTCGGCGCCGCGTCCTCCCGCCTTCCGCTGGTGCTGCCACTCTCCTCCATACCCAACCAGCTACACCGCAGCTCTTCGAGCTCTTACTGAAGAGAGCCTTCGCCTCCACCTCCAATCGCGACGATCACAGCATCCACGGGAGCAGCCGAGCAGCGGCCGGAGGAATCCAGCTCCATCCTATGCGGCGGCGGCCATTCCAATGCTCCCTGATCCAACTCCTCTCCGGTCAATCGGAATTGGGGCAAGGACGGACGGCCAAGCCGGCGGGGGATATCAACTACAGGTTGGACTGGACTGGACGCCGGATTTGGGATCCCTTTCCAGGATTAGGGATTTGGGATTGGGTCAGGACTCTGGAGGAGGACCGCGGCGAGGTGGGGGGGTGGGGGGGAATCAAACCACAGTCGCAGTCCAATCCAATCCCCTCCTCGATTTCTTCCTTCCTCGTCTCTCTCCGCCTCTATTTTCTTCTCTTCTTTCCTTGTGGGGAAGATATACTTCCAGATTTAATTAGCTGCGAATCCGATTATATTAAATAATTATCGAGGAGATAATACGAGCCTGCGCCTAAATACCTAGAAATTGCCTTATTTTACTCCTGCTGCTGACCGCGCCGTTTTCTCTCACATGTAATCCATCGAAAAATAAGTCAAAATACTTCCGGCGGATTAGCGTGATGGAAGAATTGTTTTCCTGAGAGCGCTGCCCAGCCAGCCGAACGCGGCCAGCCAGCCGAACGCGTCCCTCTCTGCGAGTGGGCCCAAACGAATCGCGACCGGCGGCCTGGAGAGGGGAGAGATCGAGCTGGTGGACAATCCAACGGTTGGCAATGTGCGAGCTGGGAAACGGCGGGATGAGTGGCCCCCCGTGTCAGGGACGTGGATCTCACGTGACCGAGGGTGGGGTAGTGCCCAAGGGCCACGTAGAGTTGCGTGGAGCCCGCGTGCCATTGACGTGTACACCTCGAGCACCTGCGCTCTTCCCTGAAGACATCCAGGTGAGGTGCACCGGCGGCAAACGTGTGTAGGAGAAGCGCTCTTGGTGGTGTCTATCTATATGTTGCAGGCTTTCAGCATATGCTACCTGGGACACACTAAAAACCACAGTATGTGCTCGAGCCGAGTAGCCGACTAGTACCACGCAGTGCATGCGACAAAGCTGCTGCGGTTGTGCTATTTTCTCCTTGCTTTTGATGGTGCAGTGTTGCACATGTGAATAGCAAGCACGCATTTCCTGTCAGTCTGTGTACCCTGGTCGTTACTCGTGCTCGCTACACTCTAGAACGTGCCCATAATGGAGCCGAGGAGAGCGTTGTCTCTCAAAAGCTTGTCCTCGTGCTCGTCGTCGTCCCTATATATATCTACTACTACTGTATTTCGGCTCTCTTTCTCTGACGACGGATGGAACAATTCATCAGTTTGCCATTTCAGTAGAATTTTTCACAATATTATATATAATTTGCCACGGCAAGCATCAATCTTTGATCTAAGCTCCTACTCCATATATGGGCCTGTTTGAATCCCCTCATCTAAACTTTAGAGATCTAAAAGTTTTAGAGCACTTTAGCTCATTTTTAACCTCTAAAAATCTAACGTGGGTTGGGTTAAAGTTTAGAGCTAATTTTTAGACCACTTGTTTGGAGTTTTAGCTCTAAAATTTAGAGGATAAGAGGAAATCCAAACATGCCCATAGTACACGTTCAGTGCATGACATTGACATGTACGTGAGTTAATAAATAGGTGTATGAGTGTATGTGTGTATGTGAGTGAGTTTTCTCGTCAACATAATCAAAATCTAACAATTTAAGATAAGTGTGCAGAGGTGCAAGTTTATAGGTCAATTATCTGAGTGAGGGCATGTTTGGAACACAATTTTTTTCATACGAATTTTGGAGTTTTTCATTCCTATGGAAAGAAAGCTCGAGACTACGTTTGGAACATAGGATCTATAGTTTCCCTTCCGGAGGAAAGGCAGCCAGCTATGTGTGTTTCACGGAAAATAAAACATCTACCGTGACCCAAGGAAAACGTGAATGTTCAAATTTTTCCTGCAACACAAATAGCAAACTTCAAGTATTCCCCTGTTTTAGATCCCTGCGGTTTTTTACTTTATACTACATCATATTCGTGTGCTTTTTTTCTATTCCTCCGTTTTCCATTCCTGCGTTGCAAACTGGGCCTGAATGACCATTTTCAATTTTGACTTCCTTGAGAGACTATCTAACCATCTTATCTTAAATTTATCTTTTAAGTCATCATTTAGAAAGTCGTTGGAACAAAATCACTATCTATATCTCTCTATCGGGATATCATTAAGAATGATCTTATTGCCCTTTTTGTTGATTTTCATAACCTGAAACTGGACATTGGTAGATTCAACTATGGGGTTATTACCCTTTTACCTAAAGTGAAAGAGGCCAATAACATAAAGCAGTACAGACCTATTTGTCTGTTAAATGTCAGTTACAAAATTTTCACTGAAACCCTAATGTTAAGACCGGAGAAAGTCATGGGTAAAATTATCAATAGAAGTCAGTTTGGCTTCCTGAAAGATAGAAACATTATGTATGGTGTCTTGGCTCTGCATGAGATTCTTCATGCCACTAGGATTAAGAAGAAGGATGGATTGGTGCTTAAACTTGATTTTGAAAAAGCCTATGACAAGCTGAATTGGGAGTTTTTGTTTGACTGTCTTAGGCAAAGGGGATTTTGTGAAAAATGGTGTGATTGGATCAAGCTTGTTATGATGACCGGCACTGTGAGTGTTAAAATCAACAATACTAAGGGGGTTTACTTTAAATCTAGTAGAGGGGTTAGATAAGGTGATCCTTTGTCACCCTTCCTCTTTAACATTGCTGCTGATTCTTTAGCAAAAATGATTTCTCTTGCACAGAAAAATAACTTGATTCAAGGCCTTGTGCCTGAATACATGGAGAATGGGGTTGCTATTCTGCAATATGCTGATGACACAATTCTGTGCCTTCAAGATGATAGAGAGTAGGCTGCTAATCTTAAACTTTTGCTTTACATTTATGAATCAATGTCTGGCCTTAAGATCAATTTTAACAAGAGTGAAGTGGTTATGATAAGTCAGGATGACTCAAAGAGTATTGAATTCTCTAACATGTTCAATTGTGCTATTGGCAAATGGCCTATCAAGTATTTAGGAGTTCCTGTGGCTGGCTCCAGGCTTCATGTAGCTGATTGGTTACCCATTATTGAAAAATGGATGAAAAGATTGGATGGGTGGAAGGGTAGTGCTCTGAGTTTAGGGGGAAGATTAACATTTATTAACTCCTGCTTGAGTAATCTGCCTATATACACCATGTCTATGTACTGGTTGCCTGTTTCAACCCTTGATAAAATAGACACCATCAGAAAAAGATTCTTCTGGCAAGGGGGAGGCTTGAAGAAGAAATATCACCTTTGTCAGGTGGATTAGAATTACGAAACCAAAAGATAAAGGGGGCTTAGTATCAAAGATTTAAGAAAAATGAACATTAGTCTTTTATGCAAATGGTGGTGGAAAGCTGAAAATGGAGAAGGCATCTGGCATGATATTATCAGGAAGAAATATTGTGGGGGTACGGCCCCCAGTATCCTAAGACAAGACATGGGTCGTATCATCAGAGGTGGCCCAGCCCACAAGATCAAGGCGTGCACGGCGCTGCTGGGCGTGCACCGTAAACTATTGTATAGTACCAAATAGAATACTTTCCTTGTAATCCTACCCCTCCAGAGTATATAAGGAGAAGCAGGGGTCCTCTACTCGATATCTCAATGCAATACATCAGAACATATGATGTAGGTATTACGTCATACTGACGGCCGAACCTGTCTAAATCTTGTGTCTTAGTGCTTGTATTACCATCTTGCTCCTGATCTCGCTCACCTCTACGACAAATCTACAATCGTGGGATACCTCTCGGTGGACTGCCGAGCATCTTTTGTCGATAGTTGGCGCGCTAGGTATGGGGTGTGCGCTTGATCCCATGGCGAGCCAGATGGACCTTAAATCAATAGCGCGTTCTCGTCAACAATCTCATAGAGATCCATGTCGGTCCACGACGACGATTCATCGCTGGCTACATCAGCCCCCGCGACAAGAATCCGATCTCGGAACCATCTCCGAGGTCGTCTTCACCAACAACTCACCGCTCGCCAGGTGCTCGCCGTTAACGCCAACCAAATAACGCCATACGCCGCCGACCAGACATTCTGTCTAAAGCTAAGTCACGCTTTAATATTTTTCTAAATATTCTTCAATCTTCGTATATCGCCATAATGTTTCTCCGAGCTGTTTTCTCCATATTTGCTCTCCAAACGATTTTTCAAACCCCCGAACAGTCATGTTGATGCTCGGACGCCTCTAGAGATGGTCCTGTCTCCGGCTCCTCCCTACACGTGCTACGGGCTCTGCGCTCTGCGTTATGGGTGGTCTGTTGCGGTTCCTTAGTCACGCCTGTTCCTCCTACACGTGCACGGGCTCCGCGCTCGACGTTATGGTTAACAGGCTAGCTAGGGCTGGAGAATCAGCTACACATTAACTGATCGGGCGGTTTATATTAAATATAAATACATCTTCACACCAACTGATCGTCGACCTCCATATGCTATTTCATCGCCATTGCTGATTTTTCTCTGGAGTTCATATATTTTTACATCATGTACTACCCGTTCTATATATTTGTATTGCAGGATCATCGTCCAGGTGATCGGATCACCTGGTGCTCGGACTTCTCCACCGATCAACTGGTTGGACCGCTAGGTTTAATGACTTCGTCATCGACCAGTTGATCGGACTGTTCGCTGGTCGCTTCTACTCAATGCTCACTTCACCGCCGACCAGTTGACCAGACTGTTCGTCGCTCGTGCTTCATCGCTAGCTACGTCGGTTACTCCTCGGCGCTCGGATTCTTCGTGCTCGAAGACTAAGTGGGCACACTTTACCGCACGGATGTCGCCAGCTACGTCGGGGACTCTTCGGTGCTCGATATCGTCAGCGACGTCGGGGACTCCACGGTGCTTGGACATCGTCAGCGACGCCGGGG